CTGCAACCTCATATAACTGTTAAGTTTTGTAAAACACTGTTATCCCACTGAGCCAGAGGAACAGGTGATGAAAGGTTGTTCAATTTTACATGTCATGACTTAGTTGTGTCTGTGCTGCACATGTTTTTTCTCTCGCACACTTTGATCACATTCCTTTTTCATGCGATTATAAGAGACCTAAATGTTTTCTTATTTTTTCTGGTACTTCTTGCATCTAGATGGTTCATAAGTTGGATAAAAATTTCTACTGGGTTTTGGTTCAAAATGTAAAACCTTGAGCTTGGGACTGAGGAGGAGTGTTTTATCCTTAACACCTCAAACCCTCTGTGGCTATGACTTCAGATGATTAGCAGAAGCTCAATCAGTCCCTTGAATCTAACCATAATGTTATCTAAACCCACTGAAACTGAACACGGGGAGCATACTCCAAACAAGTCTTGAAACAGAATAATATTACATATCACATCATTCTGTGATAACTTCTGGTGTTATATTTAGGCCCCCTTATCTTTGAAGTAGCTATTAATAGCAGAGACGTGCAATGATTTGATACTGATAAAACAGGAGTGTAGTTGCCGGAGACAGGCTGGGATAATACCTATCATTCCTTGTTTACAGAAAACACCTGCATCACCTTTCTAAGCTTCAGTTACCTGAAAAAGTTTACCATGTTCTTACAAGTCTGTCTTAATGTTGGCATTCAAGGGTATCCATAATACCTCTGCCAGTTTTTACTTACTTCTTTTTTTTGCTTGATAAACATTTGTACCATGGCCCACTGATAACTGCTCTAACACTATCATAAACCATGTATAAAAGGTATCCATTCAAAACTCATTTCATGTGTTCACCCCCCAAAGTCACTAAAATTACATGCTATTCTATTATTAGCATCACCGTTTTTATTATCTATAAGTACTTGCATACAGTGTGTATTGCCAAGTAGACAATATGTTTGCAATATATATATACTCCCTCAGGTCAAAAGTACTCCATGTTCACCAACTAGAAAGCAATGTGCTTGAAGTTCTCAGAAAATATGTGACTCTTTGATACCAAACCTGTATCATATAATAAAAGGAAAACAACTGTCACGTAGTTAGGTCACATCACACTTAAAGTTTTTGGGTATCCACGTTTCTCAAAGTTGGCAAGCCATTGTGACTCTATACCGTACCACAGCGGTAAAGTATAAAGAACATGGCAGGACCTTAAAGCATTTCCATAGCAGTAGGCCCACTACACCTCAAGACTTTCTCAAGATCTTATCCTTCACTATAAGCCTTCTAATTCCTAGCATTTCATGACCAATGGATGATGGATAGCCATATGACACCGCAATTCAAGGTGCAGAGATGCATCCCTTTAGCATGCCTGTTAGAAAGCTGTGATTGTAGGTTTGAATCCCGGTTCACCCTGATTATGTTTCTAAGTTTGTCAGCATCATACCCGTGCCCATGGGTTTCACCAAAGTGGTTAATGTATGAGACCTGCATCACTTTGGGCTTTCCTCCCACATCAACCTGACATGCTGTGATATAACTAAGACACTGTTCAACCAAGGGCGGATCCAGCATTTAAATCCTCTCAGATAATTTTACTGCCTACAACATACTACATTTGCTTTTCAGTGTGTGTGTGTGTGTGTGTGCATGTGTGTGTGTGTGTGTGCCCCCCACCCCCCGTCTGGATCTGCCTGTGGTTCAACTCCCTCCCTACTTCATTGTAAAGTCAAATGAATCAAGAAATCCAGTTTTGTATTGATACCTAATTTGGTTGTAACATGATATTTCTTAAAGAGAACACAATACTAGATTCTGTGAGAATTTCTACCCCACACATGCAGATTTGTCCTAAATACATCATCTCTAAAGCCAAAGCAGTTTGTTATGATTAAGGCGTACAAAGGACAGACAATTGGATCTACTGGTCCTTAACACAAAGCAAATACTGCTCTTTAACAACTTCAATGGATGAAAATAGCTCTTCAAGTTTTTCACTGACTGTAAATTGATACAAAGATTTGTTTTCTTCCAAACAGTGCAATGACTTCAAACAGAATTACTACTTTTTTTCAAGGTACTTCATTACAGAATGCTTGCTTAGCATAGGCCTTGATGTCTTCCATGAACGTGAACATTTTTTGGTTTTCCAGAATTTCTGAAATACCAGTATACCATGCAAGGGAGTGACCTTAGTGCTTCTTTACTTGCCCGGTCAAGATTTGATCATTTACAGGCTGCCGCCGTCATATTGCAGGAGTACTGATATCTGGCGTTAGGCAACAAACACGTTTGGATGCAAAGTTTCAGAGTGGCAGGTGCTACCAGTGGAGCAGGACATGCTTACCCTTTTTTGGAGCAACTGGTATCATCATTGATTTGCACTGAAACATTCATATAATCTTCGCCCCTATTTGCCTTTTGTGACCAATGGATTCCGTTTTGGCAGATAATCAAGACTGATTATTCTCTGGAGAGGATGTTTTACATTTAGTTCTATCTGGTCCTGTAAAACATGATCGTAGTCCTGACATTATGATAGTTTACTTTAGTTTTGGAGAACACAGTTGGACCTGACTAGTTCACTATTCAGGGATGCAACCTGGCATCTGAGTCAGTTTGTCTCCCAAACAGGCATCCCAAAGGCTAGTATAATTTCAAGCTTTTAAGGGGCTCTTAATTCCTATGTTACCACCATTTGGGTTAGTATCCCCCCATACTCATTGCTTACTTCCACTAACAAGCTGCATCCTCCTTTGTAAATGACATGCACAGCACAAACTGATGGAAATACAATGGCATCAGTGATGAAGTGGTTCAGCCACTGATGGAACCACTGACTCTCGTCCATCATAATACATTGTACAATAATTCAGGCCAAATTTCATATTAACCTTACACAATCCATTCAAATAAATGACCATAATACAAGTATCAGCCTCTATGAAAAAGGCATAAAAATTAAAAAACTTGAACAATGTATTACGTGATAACATGTAATTAAGCACAACAGACTGACAGTGGAAATTGTAAAGGCCATGGTGATTGTGTTCATTCCCCATCTGGACTCCTCATATGTGGAAAGGTTGGTGTGTCAGTTTAACATGATCGGGAGCAGTTTGTGAAGGAGAAACAATTTCTCTTGTCTTGAAGTGATTTCTTTTCAATTGGGTTAACATCCTGGAGTTCAGACGTAGAGGCTAACAGACAGGATGTTTTGTTCTATGACAGGAAGTTTGAAGGATCGTGGGAAATATGGACCATGGCCTCCATGAATAGAGTTACAATACACGCTTCAATATACGAAAACACAACAAACAAGAGACCAGTATTGGCTATTATATTATGGGAGTTCACTGCAAATCTAAAATATTTTTTGAAAAGATTTCATCACATCTTCTTGTTAACTTCACAAATGACTTCTGGAAAACTTAGGAAATAGTTTTCTTTTTCACTCCATATGGCAACTGATTGATTTGAAAATACTAGTTTTTCTCATTATCTGATGGAATTAAGATAAAACATATAAGAAACAGCAAGATTTAATCTAAATAATTCCATTACAAAGTCTGAATCCTTTGAATGGTGAAAGATTAAGTGAAAATATTCACTTTAGTGTATAATTTTTAAGGACAGGAAAAGCAAACGAAACCAATACAATATTTCCACATAATGACCATGAGTGGAGGTGTAATTGCCGAGCATGTATGTATGCAACTGCAGTATATTAAGACCAGCCTGTGGTAATACCTGCCATGTGTGAGTGGTTGACATACAACATGATTGTGTCACGTCTCAAACACTAACACTTGTTGTTTATTTGAAGAATGGAAACTTATCTCAATGTTTGGACTCAGAACACTTGCATGCTCCCAGTGCATTGCAACTTGAGCCATCTTCCTCAAAGCCCACTTACTCTCAAATTACCTCTTGTTGAAACTGCCACTGTAGGGTGTTGTCATTCCAACACATCCCTTTGTGAAGTGTGTAGGGTTGGGTGGATAATTATACCTTTGCTAACAGTATTACAACACAGACAATATTTACCAACAGTCTGTGTTTTTGTTTTTAGCATACGGCCTGTATTGACATGGCAAGACTGGTGTGGTATGATAAGGTATTTGCAGATGCATAAATAAAATGATAAGCTAGCTGTGATGAATTAGTGGTTGGAAACAGGGAGGAGTCACCCAAACTGAGAGCCTTTGATTTAGAACCTGATGGCTTATTCTGGAGAGGAAAAACTTAATCATGCTGTGAGATCGCTGGTGGCGAGCTGAAGGAGCGGGCAGGCATCTACTTGACATCATCTAACTGTTCTATGTCAGCTTCAGTTAACTATTGTGTTAACAGGTTACACTACTTCCAGACTTGCAACATCAGTTATCGTCAGTCGGCATCCTAATACCATGGTGACGCGTCTAGATTACATATCTCTAAGGCTGATTTATAGTGCAGCTTTTGCCTAAAGGTAGTAATGATATATTTTCACTTTCACAGCCTCATAAGCCAATAATCAATTATTCTGTGATAAATTGTTTGTCTGTCTTCATGGTTCGTTAATCTTGAGGAAGACATCTTTGAATTCATTTGCCACTTAAAGTAGCACTGATAAGAATAGCCGCCTCCTCTTAGGGAGTTTCCCAGCTGTGAATCCTCATGTGATGTTGACATACAGGGTTACAGGGTTCTCTGAGAGACAAATTTGTTGCTTCTTGGGAGACAGGACTTTTTTCAAATCAACGGCAATATTTATGTAACTAAATTAAGGTGTAAGTACTGGAGCCCTTCAGACAAACATTCCATTGATGATTTTGTGTTTTAAACTCTTTATTTCGTATTTACTGTCAGTGCTGACTAACTGATGCCATTTCGTAACATGAAACAGATCAGACTCAATACTGACCACAACTGACACCCGGTTTACTGAGTATCATATATTTTTTTAAAAACATACACATTACTTATTGTTAAACATGTATGTTTTTTACTTTTCAGGTATGTGATGACCAATATCTTCTTAACATGCACCTGCTGGATCACTGTTGCTGTGACGATTGAGCGCTTCATATCACTTCGATTCATTGCCTATCCACACCTAGCCTGTACAATATCCCGAGCAAAGAAAGCCATTGCTGCTATTTTCATTGTGTCTGTGCTCTTCCACATCACAAAGTTCTTCGAGTATATCCCCAACCCTGACCATACCAAAGGACCACCACTGCTCCTGACTGAATTGTCCATGAGCAAGGCCTACGACAGATATGTCCACATCAGCAACATCACACTGACTGCCATCATCCCTGTATTTCTCCTCGTCATCGTCAACAGCTTCCTCATCTACTTCCTGATGACCCATCACCGCCGTATGAAGCGTCATCGTGCCGGGGTCCACTCCAGCGTTGACATGACCCACATCACTATCATTGTCATCACGATGGTCCTCGTCTTCATCGTGTGTCACTCCTTTGGTCTGTTCCTTGCACTGGCCATTGCAGTTAATGGTCGCAGACATGTGTTCATGAACCCTCTGTATCGAAGCTTTAAGCACATAAACTTTCTTCTTGTCACAACCAATTCAAGCGTAAATTTTCTACTCTATTCAACAATCAGCAAAAAATTCCGTACTACCTTTCTGGCTATTTTTTTAGGAAAGCTCCACGACAAGAACCTGTCGTGGAGCATGCAGAATTCCAACTCGAATTTCTCAAGTAAACCTAATGCCACCTCTTATATCTCTCAAATATCCACTGACAGCTCAAATGGAAAAGGTGGAGAGCACTCAGAGGTGTAAATGCCTGAACCTCTGTGCCCCGTTCCACACAGCAATCATAGCGCTAAGGCGATCGTAACCCCCATACTAAAACATAGTCTTACGACAGTCGTAGCACTATGATCGCTTTGTGGAATGGTCCAGATGCATAAACACTCCAGATATCTGCTATGTTAACGCCTGTATCTTTGTCGGTAAATGTCCTAACCTCTGAGAGTGTATGCCCCAGAAGGTTTAGGTGTAAACACAACAGACATCTGGAAGTGTTAATGTCTTAGGCCTGTAAAGGCGTCAAAGTCCTGGACCTCTGAGATATAAATGCCTTTGACCATATACACCATCAATATATACCACTCAACATTTGACTGGGTCCAAAATATTTATCTTTAGTCAAAGGTGTGATCCTTAGCAAACGTTGAGTAGTACAGTAATAAGGTCATAGAAGCATGGACCTTCTATGTTAACTATCAGGTCAACAAAGGCATGAGATAATATAGGATAGTTGTGTGGCTATGTATGTTATGTCTTGTGATGGTCCTGGATCAGTGTTGGACTTGTTGTTTGGTAGACTTGAAGTTTGTAGAGAGGACATCAATACAAGGATGAAGGATGTGTGTAGTTTTAGTGTGTATAGGTTCATATGTTGTGTAGATACCATTACCATGTAGCATATTCCTAGATAACTACAAGCACATCTTTATCATTACATCATTTCATATCTATTAAATATGGCATGATCAGTGAGAACGACTTACAAGGACTTGACTGTTCTCGGACTAGTTCCTCAATGATACAACTCCCAAGGACTTGACTGTTCTCGGACTATTTCCTAAATGATACAACACCCAAGGACTTGACTGTTCTTGGACTAGTTCCTAAATGATACAACACCCAAGGACTTGACTGTTCTCGGACTAGTTCCTCAATGATACAACTCACAAGGACTTGACTGTTCTCGGACTAGTTCCTCAATGATACAACTCCCAAGGACTTGACTGTTCTCGGACTAGTTCCTAAATGATACAACACCCAAGGACTTGACTGTTCTCGGACTAGTTCCTCAATGATACAACACCCAAGGACTTGACTGTTCTCGGACTAGTTCCTCAATGATACAACACCCAAGGACTTGACTGTTCTCGGACTAGTTCCTCAATGATACAACACCCAAGGACTTGACTGTTCTCGGACTAGTTCCTCAATGATACAACACACAAGCCTTTTGATCAAGTCAGGTAATGGGCAATGGAAAGAGGAACGCAGAGAGATCAGCAGTGCCTTCTGACAAACACCCAAATAACCAGATGTTCCAAAGACAACAACATCAACCATGCTGACAAGGAAATCACTGATTCTTAGGGATTTGTGGAAACTTGCCTCCTGTGAAACTGTTATAATGAATATGTAATACTCTTGAGAGTAGTTGACAAATGTGGACATAGGCATGTGGAGCACTGACCCACATTGTGAACACTTGTTATAATCACAAGTGAAGGCTGAATGACTGTACCGGTGACACTTGAAAACATCAGGGTGAACCCAGCCACTGAACTTGATGATGATGCAAAGATATTAACCTCTTTATTCTATCATTTGTTTACATATATAATCTCAATGTTTGTACCCATATTTATGTACATGTAGTCATGGTAGTATTTGTTTGTGAATATTACTTTGCCATGATAAGTTGCAATATTGTTGATACACAACGTTCATACAGATATGGAATACTTTCATTCAAGGCCTTTTCAAGGCTTTCAACTGTCATTTTCAAGGCTTTTATAGTTGGGTTATAAGCTGCAGTCTGTCAACATTTTCTTAAATTCCAGTATACCATTTACCGTAAGACCCAAAAAGCAGTACGAACATCACAAAGTTTCAAACAAAATTGATTTGCACAACAAACAAATAAAATAAATATGATTGTCATGAATATTTCAAGGTATTTGGCAAATTGTAAAATCTATCACTGCGATAAATCACACATAACATCCTTGGTACATAACTACATTTTTGTGTGTTTTAATACTTTTATTAACAAGGTTACCCGGGTATGTCATTTTGTTTAAAGTCATTTTGTTCAAAGTCAAGGCTTTTCAAGCTACTTTGGTGACTTTCAAGGTTGACACTGAAAATCAAGGCTTTTCAAGAGGGATCTTAAAATTCAAGGCCTTTTCAAACATGTATGAACCTTGTGATATAAAGCAAACAATATGTCACATTGTTTCAGACTTAAACATGTCTTTAATTGTCCCTATTAAATATTGGAATAACATATGACAGTTAGATATATAGTACCAACAATAACATCCTATTACAGACTACAGCCTCTATTCCCTTATTCTCTTTAATATTTATACATTCTGATATGTTAAAATACTTTTACACATATTTCTGTTGGAAACTTTAACCAGACTAAACCAAATTCAGTAAGATGCAGATGAGCCCTCTTAGCCAACAGTATGTCTGTCTGATCAGCTTGGAAATGAGTTTTGTGAAGAACCCTCCACAATTGTAATGTCCCCCAGCTGGATGGAAGCTTCAGCTGTGCTGAGTGCTAGATTTCTGTGGAGAGTGACAAGTGTGGTAGGCTGATGCTGCTGCTGCACACAATGGGCCTAGGTCATGGTGACATGTCGTGTTGACAGAGGCAATGATGCTTGCCAAGGAATCCCAAACACTTGTTGATTTCTTTCATGTGAAATACATCTTGGAGAAACAACAAAGCATTGAAACCTAATCCTTTTCTCTTTGAAAAACATAAATGCAGGCAAGCCAAATCTGTACATGAACGAGAGTGTGTGGCTATTTCTTGTACCTCTAAGTGTTATTTCTCCCCTGTGTATTGAGACATGGCTAAGGCTCTGATATTAAGGTACTTGTGTAGTTTCAATAAGCTGTCATTGACAGCAGCATTTCATATCCTACTACAGCTTCTTAGGACATACCTTTGAGAATAGGCCTTCATCGTGTCCATTGTTATCCAACATCTTTCACCATATTATCACTGATTATTCAATTGTTCATACAGAGGGAAGGCTTGGATGTTTAATTAGTCTGCAACTCTGAAGCCTGAGTCTAGTAACATTCTGTTCGGTATAGTAATCTAATAATAGTCCACATTATAACACTAAAACATTTTATATGATGCTAAAGGTCATGTTCTGTCAAATAGACTTTGTCACAGGCTGTAAATACATATGTCAATATTGAGGCCCCAAAATTTGTTTATGTATAATTTTGTCAATTTTTATAATATGCAATAAAAATTAATATTTTTTCTCAGGCAAGGACTTGTAAACATGTGAACGTGGTCATCAACAGTTTGTGTTGAAACTGTCTGCCACCCATACTTTGCCATGTTCAGTGCCTTTGCTGATTCTATAGTGCCTCATTGTATTGTTTAACCTAAGCAACCTGTATTGTGTATGATATGCAATTGGTTGGTGTAATCACTCTCACTGTACATTGTTCTTGCAGTAATCAATCCGTAGTTGATCCTATTCATAGCAATAAAATATTTTGTATCACATTTCTGTCTCCTTTCTTCACTGAGGGTATACACAGAGTTCCAGATAAATCTTTGAGCGATTACTCACATGTTATCGTTTATATTGGGTACTGATAGTTTTCTAGGTAATCAATATATCTTACTCCTTGGGTCCTGTCTCGTGGGTATTTCTTATACCAGTGAGTCAATCTGTTTCCCATCACATCAGCTCACTACAGTGACACATGTCTAGATTACATCAAGTGGGAAGTAACTTTAGTGCATTATTCACTGCAGTATATATACTGAACCACAAAAGAAACATCACCATGGATAGATATATGAGAAACCTTATTTGTCCAAACACAGTAAACATATTTTGAGACATATTAAAAAGATGAAACTTGGCAAAACTGATCATCAAGGTTGAAATTAAAGCGTCAAATGTTCTTAAAGTGAAACACAACACTAGTCTCTAAAAAAAATGGCACCACAAGTCAGTATCGCATGTGTCCGCAAAATGCATTGATGACTGCCTTGCAACGTTGATACATGGAATGGATGAGGCCGTTGATGAAGGCCATAGGCACCTTGAGCCCACACTCAAGCACTAATGTGTCGCTGGTGTGTCCCCATAGTCTGTCGAGCAGTTTCCGCAGCAGTAACAAAGCGTTCTTAAAGATGCTGTCGCACAATCTGACAGTTGGTTGTGGGAGTGTCAGGATTCACTAATGTATTAATTACACCTGACGAGACAATACACAATATGCCTACCCTTGTGGCGAATCATATTTTAATTCTGCATCTCCAATTAAACACAGTGTTGAACATACGGTTATCTCAAAGCTTGGTCCCCGCGTATTGCTTCTTTATTCATCATTTTCGGTGGTGTCTCGAAGTATTTACGTAGGTCCCTTCAACTGCGACACAACAGTGTTTGACTGTATTTACAAAATGTAATAGAAGCTTTGTAACAAAAAACGGCCTGGTAGCTTCGCTGACTTGTGTTACCTTACCTTACCTTACTAAGTCTGATTTCATGAAACTATACTCCCTGCCAAAAGAAAAGTGAACAATAGAAACATATGGAGAAGTATATAAGTTAAGAAGAGATGTTTTTAATGTTTACCACCTAATGACAAACTAACAATCAGTCGAGTGTTACCACAGTGTCTTTATTCTTATCATGATATGCTGCATATGATTTCCAAACTTTACACGCAAATCCTGCACGAGACAAATGGTGCATCTTGAGTCATGGCTCTATGACGTCACATGTGATGTGTTCATGAGCGTCGGTTCACACAATTATACCAGTATGTTCGTTTGTGCCTCGAACCAATCTAATGTCTCTTGAATATGAGTAATTCTTCATCTATTAACCAACATGTATAGTATTCGTGTTTCTTTTGTCGGTGAGTATTTAAGAAAGAACCTAAATTAACTAATCATGCAAGATACTGCAAACTGGTTGAAGCAAGAAACCTCTTGTACGCCTGGACACATTGAACATGGAGAATTTTACACCAAAACAACCAGAATAAGTGTCTTGATTTGTATTGATACGCAAGGTGGGCGTTCATGACGCATTGTAGGTCCTATATCTTAAATCTACCACTGAGTATTTCAAGATAGACCAACGTCACAAACTATCCTTGATACATATATTGCTGAAATGTAGTAATGAAGGCCAAATTGTGTTACAGTCCTCGCTTTGATGAACATCATCCAACTTTTGCCCCCTGTGGAGCCTGGAAACAAGACACTGGCTCAGGGCCAAACCACTGCCTGTAGGTGTGTCACCCGATGACTTAGTTAAGGGAAACTGATTGGGAACACCTCTCTCAATACAACATGCATCCTTTAAACAGCTTATACTTTTTTAAAATACAGATGGCTGGTTTCACAGAAATTTGCCTCTTACCAACCTGCTGTTCTCCCATGTCTGTTTTCATTTTAAGGCTTCTTTGTGTTTGTAAGATTGAATCTGCTGGCCATCACTGTGTCAGTTTAACTGACCAAAGAATGGACATGGGATGTTCCAAATTAAATGCTAGAAATAACATGCAAACATGAAACGTACATTTGCGATTGGTTGTGATATGATTGTGAGTGAGTGAGTGTATGGTTTTACGCCACTTTTAGCAATATTCCAGCAATATCACAGCTGGGGACACCAGAAATGGGTTTCATACATTGTAACCATGTGGGGAATCGAACCCAGGCCTTCGGAGAGAAGAGCGAAAGCTTTAACAACTAGGCTTTAACCCCACAACCCCTGCTATATGATACATATATCGATATTCCATGGTATATTTCCTTATATTGCATCCATTTGACAGGGCATGTGTACCTGATGTCTGACCTCTGGTTCCCAGATTCGGATCTGGCATCACGGCCCACCTCCCTGATTCTTTGTCCCATTGGACTGAGGACCTTCTTGATTTCTACTTCCCAAATCAGGGTTCAAAAAGTTCACTAGTCTCAGACGGCTAAAACTCTGGAAGGACTGGTGACATTTCCTGGTGGACTAACACTTTTACCTGTAGGTAGATGGCAACTCTACAGCAGATTTTTTTGTGGACCAGTGAACATAAAAATTGATATTTAACCCTGCTATTGTTCATATTTCTTCAGTTGTATTATTGCATAATAAGATGGTAGGTGACAAGTTATGAAAAAATCTATTGCACCTTAGGAAAAAGCTAGATTTCAAGGATGAATAGGGATAGTGTAATGCTGTAACTACAGATCAATCATGAGATCACGTATATGCTTTATATTGTTTCTGATCAAACTTCAGAAGTAAAATGGTCCTATCTCTAGATTTTCTCCTTGAAAAGATATGACGTCAGGGAAAAGATAAATTTTCTCAAGAGTATTACCACAGACCAAAACATACACATTTGTGGCCTTTGGTTTCCCCTAGTCCTTACGTTAACATATTGGGTTGAAAGAATCATATTTACAACAGCAGCACAATATTTCAAAGGCATGCTACTTCATTTTTAACTGTTTTTTTCAAAGATTGCTGAGTGGCTTTGGAAATATTCCAGCCATATCACACATGGGGCCCCCAAGAGTGTTGGGATCAAAACTGGACCTCCACAAGACAAGGAAACACCTTTTCCACTTTTATGTTATTATAAGACTATTTCACACAGGCAAAGGACCATCTTTGAGCGTCAGACCACCTCCTATTTTGGCTGGTTGAGTAAAACAAGCTGTCTTGCGGTTAATAGCCCACCCCACAATTTTCAAAAATATTGTCGGCTCATCCAAGACAGCAGCATAGATGATCAGTAACAGTTGACAGCAACACCTAGCGTCTTGTGTAGTCAGCAAGCTATCAGATTTTGTGACTTGGCTTCCACTATGTGTTACATGGTCTTCAGTATCTTCAATGAGGGAATGGAAGCGGAGCCCTGATCAATGATGGGTACAATAATAATAATAATAATAATAATAATAATAATAATGAGTCCATTTGTATGGCGCCAAACTCCATACCAGCTCGTGTGCTCATGGTGCTTACATTATTACCCCAGTCAATGGATCAGTGAGCACTCGATTTTCATTCTCAGCTCCCTGGGGAGTATACAACCCAAGCTGCCTGTGAGGCGCTAGAAGGTTAACAGCCACATTACCATCTCATCCTACCGGGTACCCACTCTCTGCTTGGTGAACAGAGGCACATTTCGAACAAAGTCACTTGCCAAAAGAGACACCACATGTGGTACATGTGCTTCAGTGTGGGGCAGGACCGAAGCCCTAGAAACTCTCATGGTCACCAATCTATCGACTCTCCGAGACCGACGTTGCTTAACTTTACCTGATTAGTGATCTGTGCACTGTGCACAGGACCAGGGCCCACTTGCACAAAGCGATCTTAGCGCTAAGATGATCGTAACTCCCATTCATTAACATAGGCTTAAGATAGTCTTAGCGCTAAGATTGCTTTGTGCAAGTGGGTCCAGGTGCCACCACACTTAAACATCCAGACCTCGTTCCTCAAACAAACTTAGAGCTATGACTCTTAAACTCATACGATACTCAAACATGACCTTCCAAAAGACATAGCACTATATTGCATTGGGGTGTGAGGCCAAGGTCTTCAATCAACCTTGTTGGCCCCTCTAGCTGGTCCCCATGCTAGTTCCCTACACTAAAACATGGGGTACTGTCACAGGAGCACATTAGGACATTGATTACACTGGAACTGATTGATCAACCATTGTTCAAATAAAAAGTGAAAACAGATTTATAGCTTACTGTCAATGGACAAAATAGGCAAGTTTATGTTGGAGCCATAGTTGGTGAGTTACTTGTGAAGGTATAGCACTGGGCCCGGGATCATGAAACTAACTTAAGATCATATTTTGTCTTAACTCTTAAGATTTAGACTTAAGACCAAATTTTGTCTTAAATCGGGGATCACGAAGCACAATCTATGAGAATATCTTAAGCCTAAGACAAAATTTGATCTCAAGTCCTAAGACTGCCCCTGAGTAGACTTAAGACAAAATTTGTAGCAAGAAAGATGGCGGAGGTTGTTCCCCTCATGCGTCGCCTAGAGGCTAAAAAGGACAAAATAGCAATTCATCGGACATTTCGAGACCGATTCAACCCTCTTGATCTGTACAACGACGAAGAGCTCTTTTAGAGATATAGATTTCGTCGTCCTACCATTTTTTTCATCGTTGGTCTAACCGGTGATGAACTGGCATAGATTCTACCCCACTCAGCGTTCCCACAGTGTCCCACCTATTATTCAAGTTTTGATATTCCTTCAGTTTTTTGCTTCTGGGGCTTTTCACCTTCAGTTGCTCAGTCGCTTTGTGTCAGCCATATTGCATAGTGTTTACAAAATCACGTTATACGTACACCGGTAATGAGACGCAAATACCATCACGTATATTTCAAAATCAGCTGCGATACCTACATCCTTGAATTCCTCATACATTTTAGAATCAAATGCCAAATGGTCTTTGTCACCAATACAAATTGTCTAGATGTAATGAAGCAATATAAATGAGTCGTGAAAACGAACGCTGAAAATAGTGCACTTGTTGGAAATGTAAACAAAGCCATTCATCTATTCGTTGAGTACATTGGCTCGATCAGCATTCTGAGAATAAACACGGGAAGAGAATCGTAGGGAGAATTAGGGAATATATACATTGCAATGATTTGATATTTTCAACAGAACTTGTCGAAGTTCCTGTCCAGTGTGACGCCATGACTGACGCAATATCACACACAACGACAACGGTATTTATCAGTATTTATCGGAATTTCCGTTGGTTTCAATGAAAAATATAACAACAAATAACAGTACACAGATTGTCAGAATGGGTCTGATTACTTACATGTCACATTTATGTATATACGAACCCTGAATCAACGAAAGTCCCCTTGTAAAATCCCGCGTACTGTTGACAGTCAACACGCCATTTTGTAAAAGTCGGTCACCGGTAGTGATGTCATACGTCAACATATGTTGTACATATTAGGTAATTTCTTTGAGGTGAAGGTCCTTGAATGAAAGTACACACGATCATTGTGTCCTAGCAGGCTATTTACAGTTTCAATTATGATGTAGATTGTGCATGTCTTGTGTACATTTTTTCACACATTTAATTTCACTTTGGATATTAATCAATGTTTAATATGATATCAGAAGTAGATATAGGCCACAACATGTATGAGCCTTTAATAATATCCTGCTTGTTTGAACAATGTTTACATATGAAATTGATAAGTTTATAGTGTCGTACACGTGATTCTTTATTTTGGACAAGTGATACTAGATGAAATGTAAATGCAACTGCAACATGTATGTATTTCTAGGGAGTGTAATAGTCAATATTATAAGTTCATATAAACAGTGTCCACGAATAGCTGTATAACTAAACTGAAGATATAACTTAAAGAAAATTGATAATTTTTTTCGTTAAAATATATGCACACATTTCTAGAAGAATTGTCCTTGTCTTGGAAATTTTTTTTATGCCGTTTGATATACAGAACAGTGATATCTAACGATTCGCCAGGTGCGCGTTAGTCACAAACGACTTATGAATTATTTCTCTAGTTTTGCATTATATAATCAATGGGTTCCTCCTTTATCAAATATTGTGACCACAAGATATTAAACTGTTTACTATATTTCTACAAGAATTGTAAAAAGTTTTGAAATATAACCCGTGCCATGTACCCCATTGGTGGACGATTATCCTCATACGATTATCCTGTTAATTCTATACCAAGAGAGCTTTCTTCGCATCTTTTCTGGTAAAATTTTGAGACAAGATGATGAGAAATAATTACATAATAATGAACAAATACATGTACAATATTGAATAATAATTTTGTTTGGTTTGAAATAATTTTTTGAATACTTAAATTACGTAAAATTGATGCCAAACAGGTGCGTGTCTTGTCCAATTAAGATGCACTGTACATTATCGAATTGTTTATCTATTCAAGACATTATTTACATGGTAAACGCAGTCTTTTTATGTTGTGTCGAAAAAGCGTCAAATTCCGTTTTAAACACATGGACTTTTTCCATATCATGAACGAAAATTAGGGGAGATATATATCAATCAAAATACCAGTGTCGTCTTTCTCCGACGTTATCAAAGACAAACAAGCAGCCATGACGTCAAATAGAATTGTGTCATTTTCTTAGTAATTAATTACATTTGATGATACTGCTAGTGATCGAATTAGATTGGTGCAACATTAGTCAAATTACACTTGTACAATCAGGAGAATGTTGGAGTCTAATGACTAATTTATGGTTTACATAGGAGTGGAATGAAGTATAATTTCATCATTTCTGATGGGTTTTTTTTATGCCTAAACGTATACAGTTTCAATATCGATATTTGTGTTGGAATAGTTTGGTTCCTCGTGAACAAAACACCACGAAAATACACTGTCCTTACCCATAGCTAATTCTCACCAAGTTACCCTAGTTACAATAAACTAGTGCTAAGCATAGCAGAGTTATGCCCCCTTTCCTTTGTACATGTGTAACCTCTCTGTCGCCTTTTGACGTCATAGCGGTAAATCAGTTTTCATCATTTACGGCAGGCTATTTTTTGCATTGAATTTATGTCGTTATACATACTCATATAACTCCATTTGATATATATTTATGTCGTTCAAATATTAGGCAGTATTTTGTTCGCTCACAGTTTCGGTAAAGCTGCTAAATAATTTTTTTTGTCGCACAGTACTTTTATTGGTGTACGCTAAAAGGCGGAAAATTTCCTGTTTTTCGACGCAGAATGAATTCTCTGACAAAACTTAGCAGCGTCTTTTTTTGAAACCGGTTTAATATTTACAGTTAAATTTACACCATCAGATAGGAAATTTAATATTCTACATCACTGCGTAATTTTATAGCCAGAGGTAGATCCAGAGCGCAATTCTCGCACAACCTTCTCTTTTCCGATCTTAGGAAAATGTGCGTCAGAAAAATAACCTTGGCATCCAATGATTACAGTAGTGCGATATTACGTGCGCGTGTCCCTATGACGACGGTCTTAGACTTAGACTTCGCTAAGATTTTGCTGAGATCGTTTCATGATCCAGTCTTAGGCCGAATCTTAGCTAAGCAAAATCTTAAAAACTTAAGAGAAAATTCGTGCTGAGCAAAATTTGAGCTAAGACCACTTTCATGATCCCGGGCCCTGGTCTTACCTTGAAATTGGCCTCGGAGATCTTGGTTGCCTTCAGCTCAGCCCGAGTTGTGTCCAGCTCATACTTGAGCTTGGTGGCCGCTTCCTTCAGGTTGGTGATGTGGGAGGTTGCTGATCCCAGGCCGTTCTCACTCTCATGCACCAGCCCCTCCAGCCTCTTCACCTGCACAACACAACACAACACGCAGCCTCATCTCACATCCAGTGGACATACTCCTTGTATGGTTTGGTTTGGTTTGTTGTTTTACGTCGCACTCAGCAATATTCCAGCTATATGACGGAGGTATGTAAATAATCGAGTTTGGACCAGACAATCCAGTGATTGATATCATGAGCATCAATCCACTCAATTGGGAATGATGACATGTATCAACCAAGTCAGCGAGCCTTTAGTCGCCTTTTACGACAAGCATAGTCACCTTTTACGGCAAGCATGGGTTGCTGAGGACCTATTCTACCCTGGAATCTTCACGGGGGTACTCCTTGAAGAAAACATGTTAGTTTCTCAGAGGTCTATCATACAGAATACCCACAGGTTCAATGAAGTCATAAATATACATGCCAGTTATAGCGAGTGAGTGAGTGAGTATGTATGTTATGGTTTTACACATCTTTTAGCAATATTCCAGCAATATCACGAGGGGGACACCAGAAATGGGCTGATACATTGTATCCATGTGGGCAATTGAACCTAGCAAACACTTTAACCATTAGGCTACCCCACTGTACCTGCCAGTTATAGGCATGAAAACAAATTACATAAGGCTTTTGAGCAGCGGTTTGTTGTTTAACATATCACTCAGCAATATTTCAGCTATATTACAATGGCCTGTAAATAATTTGGTCCAGACCAGACAACCCAGTGACTGAAATTATGAGTAACCATACACAGTGTCTGGGAAGGCTGTCAACCAAGACACCAAGCCAGCCCACCCGATCCATAAAGTCGCCTCGCAAGACAAGCATTGGTTGCTCGGAACTATTTATAACCAGGAACGAGAATGACCAAGGCTTTAGAAAGAGTGAGGGAGTTTTGCATAGTACAGCACCCAAAAGTTGCAAACACTTTATGTAAACCATTATTAATAATTTTACTTAAACAACCAAATCCACATGTTGTTTTGGTAGGAATTGTGCATACAAAAAGTCATCACATGTAATAAAGGGCCACAGGTTTGGAAAATTTGTCAAAAAGGATGCAAAACAATAATAGGAAAGACAATCACTAGCAGACTGCGAGTCTGATGCAGAGTATTCTGAACCTATACAATTGACTGGAAGACAAGCTGTTCTCTGGCTTGAATCAGAATTCATTGGAGAAAATGAACAGCTTTCATTTCACCCCTTTTGATCTTACAACTTTTTACTGCCAAACTTTGATAAGAAATTAAAGTATTCAGCCAAGTTAAGTCTTGATGTAAATGTGGGCTATTTTCAGACAGGTCGCCCTGGAATCTAGTTACAGAAGCAATAAATTTAGAGATATCTTCTCAAAAGTTGCTAGATGGTCTGATTAGTACGCTAGAACAGATTTCAAACATCTGCACAGTGATTCTGTGACCATTAACAGTAATCATTAGGGGAATGCACATCTTTGAAGCAGGGCAATGGCCACATTACCAGGATTACTGCCATTTACAATCACATTGAAACAAGCATCAAGAAGCTAAATTCAACTAACTGGCTAAAAAGTTTCCTCTCTTTCACTTTTTCCTACCTTGGATTAAGAATACTTCCCTCATACTAAATGGTGTTGATGTTCCCGCAGTTGATGGTCTACAGTGCAGTCATTTTATCTCATTCCTTTCAATGCACAAAGCATTTCAGTTATACTGCTTTGACTTTTATCATTTATGTTTGTACCTATAGGAATGTCAGTACCATTTTGCTTCTTGGATTTAAATTCAGAAAGTAATGTATGTCTTAAACAGGGGGGCACGGGTGGCCCAGTTGTCTAAGTCGCTGTGATTTGCTGTGCAGAGTTGCGTCCCTTGGGTACGCCAGAAGCCTATGATTGTGGGTTTGAGTCCCAGTTCGCCCCGATTATGTTTCTATGTTTGTCAGCACCATACCCGTCTCACAGAAGTGGTAAATGTCTGAGACCTGCATCACTTCGGGCTTTCCTCCCACATTAAGCCGACATGCCGTGATATGACTCGAATACTGTTAAAAGCGGCGTTAAACCCAACTCACTCACTTAAATAACTTTTCCCCTAACCAGAGTTTCCAAAAGGAAGCTTTGGTCTATGATAAAATCTTCTTTCAAATTTTAATAGGCCAAATGGTCCTCCATGGTTGAAAACTCTGGAATAATCATCAAGTTGCTATCTTGATAGGACACTAAACTACATAATCCAGTTTTGAACAATTATCATGCATCTGAAATTAACCATAATTTACCTGAAAATGATTTCGGAGTACATTTACTCCTACTTCAATTATTTCATAGCATGGCAAGATTATCCCTGCTGTCATGTTTCTAAGTTTGTAACTCTTTATACGTTATAGCAGGGCAGTACCAGTCTTGCTGCACTCAGCTGAGGCGGAGACAAATTGGCCTATGCGAAAATGTCCACTCTCAAAAGTCAAAAGGATGAAAGAAAATCTATGAAAAAGAAAAGAAATACTTTGCTGAAATCTCCTGTGCTTGAGCTAAAAAAGGTGAAGAGTTAAACTCTTAGATAAAAGGGATTGTAAATGTCACAACGTCTGGTGTGGGTGGGGAAAGTTGCATGGGGTCAACTACAAAATGTCCCTAGGCAAATGGCTCCTAAGGAAAGATTTTAACTTCACAACTTAAAGATTCATTATGGATGCCAAACAGGATCTCCTTGCTCCGCCAACTGACAGGCTTGACATAAAGAAGGCTGATGTGCCACAAAAAAACCCACAAAAACAACAAAGTCACAGAACTCTTATCATGCCATGGAAAGGGTCATTAAGAATATTTGGTTAATTTAAATTTATTTTGATACAACATGTTGCAAACTTCCCTAACAGAACCAAAAAAGTGCCTTTCTGCAAGAGGCGCTTTCAACCAGGTCACCCATCAGAGTTACCCCCTTCTTGAACCCTCACTTTCCTCTCATCAAGTTGTAGCAAATCACAGTAGGAGCCAAACAATCCCTAAGAAATTGTGTTACACTTTGGTGTTTCTGCTTCTGCTAGTGGCTCAAAAGGATCAGTGGTCAAATGTTGCAAAACCACACCCAAATCTGATGCAGGAGGTCTGAAGCGGCACCTTTGATCGTCAAGGCGAAAAGCTCTTAAGCACCACTGTTATCTCTGGAGCAGTACTAAACTTCTTACCACCTAGGTGTCGCCAGTACAGTGTTGATAGCTGCTACATTTGTAGCAATTGTACCTCCTCACATTTTGTTGTTGTACCTAAGTACTTAATCTGTAATCAACTCATCTGCAGCCACCATGGGATTCACTCCCTTCATCCAACAGTAGGCTGTAAACAAATCCCATTTAGAGTCATAAAGCACTCAAGTAGAATTACAATGTGACACCTTCAAGAATGAGTGAGTATGGTTTTACGCTGTTGTTAGCAATATTGAAGCAATATCATGGCTCGGGCCACCAGAAATGGGCTTCACGCATTGTACCCATGAAGGGAATTGAACTCGGGCCTATGGCATGATGAGCAAATGCTTTAATCACTAGGCCATCCCATGGCCACACCATCTTCAAGAAGAACCCTCTGGTCATTAATCTTGTTAGTAGATCAACCACACATACATTGCCCTTGACGCTGGATGTGCCTGCATCGTGTTTGACTGATTAAACTCAAATGTCCCAATCTGGCAGTTTGAAGGTTGGGTCTTCTGTGAATCTGCGAGTTTGAGAACCAAAGACAACTGTGCCAATTAGGTGTGACCAAATGCAGACACTATCTGCGTCTACCTGAGCTTTCCACAGAACTCGCAGACCTTCCCACGACAATACTGGTGCAACATGATAAAAAATTAGTGGATGGATCAGAGGCTGGTCACACAAATACTAGAAGCTGGTGATTGAATGTTGTGGCCAAGAGATTAATGTTGGGCCCTCGCAACTCTTCCACAGGCTTGGATACAGTCTGTGGAGTGGACTGTCCTTGCCTTAACAACATGTCTGTCAGCACATGGGTGAGCTCTGACCTTTTCCCTCTAGCAACCTGTAAAACTGGAACGTCCTGTCCATCTTGTTGATGTAATGTGCCACTGTGGTGTGCAGCCTCTCTTGCTCCTCTGACCACAACCGAGGTTGACGACAGGGAACAAATTCTTTCGCACCAACTTCTGCAATTTTCACACTCACAAAAACTGTGAACATTGTTCATGTGGAAGAAAGTTTTTCCAATAGGTAGAGCTTGCCCGGTATCAGTGTCAGGCCTGTGCGACGGTCTAGGCTCATTTAGGAACTCATTCCCTCACTCCTTGTCCCTGTCACCAATGTAATATCAGCTGCATCGGGTCTCATTTCCTCCCCTGCCCAATGACAACCTTGCTTTGGTACAGAGACACTCATACATCTATTGTCTCCCTTAGTATAGGACTGATGACATTATACACACTGAGTGAAGCATCTAAAGCACTGTAAATTCAAGCTGCTGCCAGAAATTTTTGACAGTTTTTTGTGCTCTGAAGCCTCCACATCTGACATGGCTGCAACACCACACATTCACATATGTAGCAAATAAATGGTAATAAAAGTTATCAACAACCAGGGCTGAAGTCAAATAAAACAGCTGTCTGTCACCACCATCTGCTGATGATGCAGTAAATAAATTAATGCAAAATTATGTAAAAGCAACAAAAACAAATTGAGAAATTACCGTAAGCAGTAACTTTCCAAGAAAGGATTACCCCAAAACTATACAATAACAACAAATCTTTAGTCTGATGTTAAAGGATTATGAAACTGGCTTTGCAAAATGTGTGTTGAAACTCAAAGAGAATTAAGCTGAGAGTTCAAGGGGAAGTAACCCTGACAGGCAACCTGCTGGAGAGCTGTGGGATCCAAGAAGGAGGGAATATGTCAGGATGAGAAATAATTTGCTTTCTTAAATGTCCTTTACATGCATAGCATGCTTAGAAACAGTATCTCCAAAATCACTGAAATTGTATAATAAGCCTCCAAGCTATAAATTGAACATTTTTTTTAAAATGAATACTTTGAATGATACAGTGCCCTCATAAGGATATACCTGTAGTTTCTGGGGGAGCATTGCTTGAACTGCTCAGCACTGCTTCTGTACTGACATGTTGATTTGACTGAATTTGTTTTCCAAACAATTAAAACAATTCAGGTTAAATGTTCAAGGCCTTCTGAAGAACATAGTGACTAATTAGCCAGAGTGGACATTTGACTAAGTAGTGGATAATACAGAAGTAATAGTAAGTAATATTAAAGGTACAAGGTGATGGGTTCAGGTAAATGAAAGTTCTAATGTACAGCCTCATGACATGTCAAGTTTTGATTTGACACTTGATGCAATCTTCCCATTGTTAAAAGTACTGATTGCGTGAGTACTTGCTAGGTTCAATAGCTTATGGGGAACTTATACATTGTCATACAGTTGTTTTCCCTGGATTAACCTCAATGGTCCATCAAAGGACACTATTCATTGATCCCAGAGGGGATTCAAGACAGCTACAGTGAGTTTGGTTTTAGATTATTCCAGCAATACCCTGGCATCACACATTTTATCCATGTGGGGAATCGAACCCTGGTCTGTGGCATGAAGAGTGATCGCTTCAACAACTCGGCTACCCAGCCTCTAGGACTGCCACAGATGCTGATATTTGACTCACCTCATTCTCGGTGATCTGCAGTTTGCTGTACAACTCTGCTTTGACCCTCTCGAACTCCACCATGACAGCAGTTTTGCCTGCAGTCAGTTGCTGCACATCCTCATCATACTTGCCCTGGTACTCCTGGACAGACAAGGGAAGGTCTCATACACATTCACATGATCACAACATCAAGGTATCCTATATATCAATCCTGCTCCAATAACCGCTCCCTGACCAACTCTGAGAACAATATGACTGTAGTCTTTATAAGTGCCTCCATCAAAGACTGAAAACTAACATGACAGTTCATATGCTTGTGTGTAAATTACAGATTTTTATTACAGAAAAGAGCAGTGCAGAATGGGCCTTTTTATTGAAAGAGTTTTAGTTTTGTTGATGTTTGAACTAATTTGTCCTTACCAAGTTTTACTAAGGGCTCACTTTGTCAATTGTCTAAGCACCCAGGGCACTTATTACAGCAAATATCGTATACATTGTTCAATATTAACCATGACAGTCAATGGGTCCTTGTCATACCCTTAATGTTAAAACATCAAGATTTGGGTCCCTAGCTTCAAGTACTATAGGTGTAAACCTCAAGGACCCCCAAGACCCCCAAGAACTGAACTTTTTGCACCACAACACTGTCACAGTTGCAAACTTTGCCCTTCGGTTGTTTCATTGATCAAATACCTCTCAAACATCAATTTCAACACATATAGTCTCATATAGTAATATCCGACATGTGGTCCACCCACCTGTTTAGTGTGTTCCAGGACCTCAGCAGCAGCTGTCTTCTGTTGGTCCATCTGTTCGCGGTGTTCTCGGTTGAGGGTGTTGATGGCGGCGTCGTGTGCGGCTGTGAGCTGCTGCTCCTTGTGCTTGTACTTGTCCTGCAGACTCTGGATCTCCCGCTCCAGTCTCTGCTGCAGGGTCTGCTTCTCCACAGACAAGTCTTCCAGGGACTGCAACACACCAGGCATGGCTGGTCAGTGCTCATGTGGTGTTCAGACAATGATGATTAACTGTGCAGTCTGCAATATTCCAGCTTTAACACAGCAGCCTTAATCAGGGCCAGGCACAACCAGTGGTTGACAGCATGAGAAACTAGCTATGCCATCAACAATGATGCACAGGTTACAATAACAACAAAGACAACAATAATAAGTAATGGGGTGATGGGGACGTAGTGTAACTCAGGTCCCAACAGACATTGCTGCTGTGAGGTGATGCCGCTGAGAATAATAGACTGAATACCATATTTCCTATCCACTTTTATCCACAAGTTTGGACAGGTCATAATTGATGCAAATGATGGATATGCAGTTTGTGAATCTAATCCTAAATCCACATATCAGCCACAATATAAATAATTCATTTAAAAAACTTTAATTCCATTCTACATCAACATGATCAAGAAAAAATAGTTTTTTAGTCAAGTTACTTTCTCATCAGTGGTGTATGATACCCCATTTAATATTCTCAGTCAAAATTATTTATTCAAAATATTTCATTGTGAAGGCTACCCAACCACAGCCAACTCAAGTCTGTGATATACTAAGGGAGATAATTCTGCTTACACTAATGCATACATTTCACAATCCGGCAACAAAAAGGTTACACATTTCTCATTAGCCTGCAATGCCCTGTTGCATCCATCACCATGTTTTGGCTTCCTACCTGTTCTAAAGACTTAAGCTGTGATTGCTGTTCCTCTGACAGGTTCTGTTTTTGACTTTCTAAATTCTTCCTCTCTGATTCCAGCCAAGCCAGTTTGTCTTTCAACTTGGATACCTGTGCTTTGAGCTCGTCTATTGTACTACTCTTCTGAATGACTGTGGCTTCTAGCTCCCCGATCAGTGCTGCAAGGACAAAATGTCACTATTAATCATTCCACCACCTGTGCACATTACTTCCATGCACAGTTTTTTTAAAGATGTACATACCAATCCGGGACAAAAACCTCTACTAGTCCTAACTTACCTTATCATCACTACCAGTAGATATACAGATACAGCATTCACATGAAATATTATGAGATATGTCTAGCAGTGGGAATGACATATTCTACATGTCGCGCTCAGGGCATGTAATAATGTCATAAACTGACATCAATGCAGCTAAATAAATGATTACAAATCCTAGTATTTTTATTTAATGTTCAACATATCCATGTCTGACATTTGCGAAGACATAAAGTTATTTTTAAGATCCAAGTTGTACAGTCACATACAAGTGGATTGAATCATCAAGTGCGAGAAACAAGTAAGGGGGCATAACTCTTGCAGTCTTAACAGCAGGGTAGGAAAACTTTTGAAAATTCAACAGCGCTAGGACCATAAAAGAAGAACTTGAGGAAGGAAACAGCTTGTCGTCAAATTCATCAACAGTTACAACAGATTCCAGATATGAATGGATATTGGGGCATGTGTGGAAATGAATGTGTCAGTCGACTGTTAAAGCATCTTCTGAAATGTGCATGCTTAACATCCAAGTCTGTTATAATAATTAGGGAAGCTATATTCTCATGATTATTGGTACATCATTGTACATGAGTGGTCTAATTGATGTGACATTAACACATATGTCTACGTGATGGCACAGCTTACTTGACTTCCTCAGCATCTCTGCTGCCTGTTGTGTACATCGCTCCGTCACTGCAGACAGATCTGTCTCAACAGCATGTAGCCTTGTGGACAACCTTTCAACCTCCGCCTGTTGATCTGATAACTGAGAGACAAGGGCTTATAGTTATCAAACCTGACTGAAAATAACATAGTGTTGTTCACTTTTCCACAATTTCATAATGTTAAGATTATTTCAACATGTTCAATGGATATATTCTAATCTTTTCCTCAATCATTTCTTGGCTTCAAATAATCATCTAAAGTTTCAAATTGACAGTAACCTGTTGGTTCTATGAAAATGATATAGTTTGATACTTGTTTCTTAATCCATGTTTAAAGTAGAATTATACAGTAGTCATGGTAATATCACTTTGTGGAACGGAGCCCGGTGTGTACAGCTATTAGTACCTGTGTATATTTCATTATATTTTGAAAGTAGCCTGTGTACATCTTCTTCTTGTTGATATTTACTTGTTTTTTCACACATTACCATTTTACAATTACTTTTCCACTGTATTTAGCCAAAGTATAATTACCAATTTGTTAAGCATACATTGCCTTTGTCTATTTACCTATTTGTTCAACTTACATTACTGATACCCAAGGACATATTACCAGCTTCTTCAAAGCATGTTACCAATGTATATTAACCTGTTTCATCAGTACATGTTCATATGTTGTCAACCATGCATATTTGTCTGTTTATTCAACTTATAATGTTATTTCTGGTGAATATTTACCTATTTGATCCACTAATGGTTATCCATGGATGGGTATCAGTTTCTTCAAAGCATGTTACCAGTGTATATAACCTGTTTCTTTCATGTATGTTCATATGTTGTTACCAATGCATATTTACCTGTTTGTTCAACTAATGTTTCCAATGTATATTTACCTGTTTGTTCAACTAATGTTTCCAATGAATATTTACCTGTTTGTTCAACTAATGTTTCCAATGTATATTTACCTGTTTGTTCAACTAATGTTTCCAATGAATATTTACCTGTTTGTTCAACTAATGTTTCCAATGTATATTTACCTGTTTGTTCAACTAATGTTTCCAATGAATATTTACCTGTTTGTTCAACTAATGTTTCCAATGAATATTTACCTGTTTGTTCAACTAATGTTTCCAATGTATATTTACCTGTTTGTTCAACTAATGTTTCCAATGTATATTTACCTGTTTGTTCACCTTATGTTTGCAATGTATATTACCTGTTTGTTCACCTTATGTTTCCAATGTATATTTACCTGTTTGTTCACCTTATGTTTCCAATGTATATTACCTGTTTGTTCACCTTATGTTTCCAATGTATGTTTACCTGTTTGTTCAACTAAGGTTTCCAATGCATATTACCTGTTTGTTCAACTTGTGTTTCCAATGTATATTTACCTGTTTGTTCAACTAATGTTTCCAATGTATATTTACCTGTTTGTTCACCTTATGTTTCCAATGTATATTTACCTGTTTGTTCACCTTATGTTTCCAATGAATATTTACCTGTTTGTTCACCTTATGTTTCCAATGTATATTTACCTGTTTGTTCACCTTGTTTCCAATGTAAATTTACCTGTTTGTTCACCTTATGTTTCCAATGTATATTTACCTGTTTGTTCACCTTATGTTTCCAATGAATATTTACCTGTTTGTTCACCTTATGTTTCCAATGTATATTTACCTGTTTGTTCACCTTGTGTTTCCAATGTATATTTACCTGTTTGTTCACCTTGTGTTTCCAATGTATATTACCTGTTTGTTCACTTCATGTGAAGTGCTGTCTTTGTCCCTGAGACTATTCTGTAACTGTAAAAGTTCATGTTTGTGTTTCTCCACGGACTCCTCACTCTCCGAAAGTTGATTGATAAGCTGATCAATCTGTGTCTTCAGCTCCTTCTCTAACGCTGCGAAATCCTTCACCATTTTCTCCTGTTCCTGCCGAAGCTTCACCATGTCTCCCTCCAGTGTGGAATTCTGAGATGTCTTCAAAGCTTCAAGCTCTTTCTCAAAAAAGGCTTGTGCTTTGGACATTTTCAGTTCATGATCTTCTTCCAATTTGACTTTCTCATCTTGTAAAGCATCTACTCTATCCTTCAACTCCTGAATTTCAGTTTTAAACTTGTCCTCAACTTTTGCACACTCATTTAACCAGTCACTGTTTTGAGATCGTTGAAATGTTCGTAGTTCATCTAACTCAAGTTCATGTTTCTGTTTAACTTCATCCAAAGCTCTAGCTTTGTCAATGTCAAGTTGCTGCATCCATTCCTCAAATTTAACAATCTTTTCTTCGAACTCATGCTTAGCTTTCAACACTTCCTGCGAAAGGTCTAAAATTCTTTTGGAATGTTCTGTCTTCAACTCACATTCTCTCTCTTCTGCACGCTTCTTAAACCTCTCGAACTCATCCAAGGCGGAACTTTTATATTTTTCTTGTTCTGCCAGGGATGCTTCGAGGGTCTGTATTTTCTTCCGATGATCCGAGTCAGCATTGATTTTGTTTTTGTAGAGTTCCACTTTTTCTTTGGTTTCTGACAGCAGCTGCTGCAGCTCAGACTCATGCTGTTCCTTGATGCTCTGAAGGACCGCATCATGTTCATCGTTCTTGGTGTTGAGAGCATAGATGACCTGGCAACACACAGACATCATTACAATGTGGCATAAACAGAGGATTAAAGTAACAAAACACTTTGAGATAATAAACTATCATTTGTATACGTATATATATTGAACCATCACATGTATAAACAAGCGTATAATTGATGAAGTCATCTATATCCCCTGCCCATTTTAACATGTTATGGTCCAAACCAGGTAACTGACCCAACATTTCTCTTAGCCCATGTCAAAATAGCTGCAATGGAAATTCTAAAATAAACATTTCTAAAACTCCTTAATATCAAATGGCACCAGTTCAGTATGTGCTTTATATATAGACATGCAATGTTTTGCAAGGAAATATTTAACAGTTTATTTGTTATACTCCATAAGTGAACCCACCCTATATTAAAACTTAAATTCAACTTGTTGCCATGGAAACATAAAAAATGAAAATTTATAAAATTCCAAAAGCAAAAGGCACCAGTTCAGTATGTGCCTGGTAGACATGAAAAGTTTTGTAAGAAAGTATTTAACAGTTTTGGTGTTACGCTCCGGAAACGAACACCACCCTTATAGAACCAATGTCCAACTTGTTGCCATGGAAACCTAAAAAATAAAAAATTCTAAAATTCCTAAATTGTAAAAGGTACCAATTCAGTATGTGTCTGGTAAACATGCAAAGTTTTGTCAGAAAGTATTGAATGGGCTTTGAGTTATACCCCGGGAAAAGAACTCTACCCTATAGAACCTAAGTAAAAATTGATGCCATGGAAAAGTAAAAAAATAAAAAATTATAAAATTCCTAAATAGCCAAAGGCACCAGTTCAGCATGAGTATAATAGACATGCAGAAATATTTAACGGTTTCTGAGTTATGCTCCGGAATCGATTACGCCCGCCTGCCTGCCCGCCCCCCTCCCGCACAGGGGATAACAAGCCCTTGCTGTAATAAGTTGCTTCCTTTGGAATCATTTTAACTCTTGCTGCACAAGTTCACCATCAGTGAGAGAATGTTGACTTATGACAGAGTGGATAATATTGTAGCTAAAGTGAAACCTTGTTTGTCTGGATCCTGTAAATTCTGGATATCCCACCTTCCGAACGATTACACATTAACAATGTTATATATTAGTCTGAAACCAAAGTCACCATGAATTAATATTCTGGAAATGTGTTAATCTGGACAATTTCGGTGGGGCCCATCATGCTGCTGTCTAGATCAAATGTTTCACTGTATCTCACAGTGGTTTTGAAATAATCTGGGCAGGGTCAGTGGTTAATGAAGAACAATAATCCTCGACAAGGCTACTATTTCTCATAGTTATTGTAAAGGAAATGAAAGTCAACCCCCCCCCCCCCCCCAATACACAATACTCCCAAAATACGGCACAGAAATTGAACTTTTTTAAAGGTCATATTATTGTATTTTTAGGGGCCACAACGACCACCTAGATGGCCACATTTCCTTATGGACTACCCCTTTTACCATTAGGCAGATTACAAGACTTCACACGGAAGATAATTTCACAGGCTAATGAAAATAAAGATTAATTTCTAACCCTGATCAGTCACTCAAGCATGATTTCTGACAAGGAAATGTTGAAAGAAACTAACATTATACTTTTTTCAAGATTTTTCACTGTTCAAGTCATAAAATGATTATCAAATCATAAACATGAAAAAAACCCATAAAAAAAGAATAAATAATATACAGCTACTCTGTAACTCTTCATCGTGGTCTTTATATTCATTTGATCATGTCCTTTTCAAGCCCTAGTGCCTGACAACACTTCAACCCAACATGCACCCTGCTCCTGCCATGACCCATGTTGTGATCCTGCCCATCATCAGTGAATTCATCATCCAGTAATGATGGCGGGCTTTTTTTTTTTACACTTCATCCCAGTGGTCCACAAACCAGATAAACCCCAGCCCTTATCTCTCACCACCAAACTCCCTGTTTCAAAGCACAGATCTCCTACCAGGCTATTTATACACACTAAATGTGCCGATTGTACCACTGGAAAAGAGATTTATAAACATTCACTTGTTCGCCAGTTTCAGTTGGACGCCTTTTGACATTTCTCTTTAAGCCAGGTCAGACTAGCCTCCCTGGTGTTGTCGGCTCTCAAAGAGCACATGTTGAATCATGATACTGACAGGCAATCTACCAGTATGCCAGGGAGAATACCAGTGCTATTTACAGCAATGTACGACTGACATACTGCAATGCACATCACCTACATACTGGCGCTGTGGACTGCATGAACAAATCACATGCTACTGTGTAATGTGCTTTTTGGCATGTAACTGTTCTATGAGAGTGGCTATGACTAAACATGGGTCATTATCATATTGAAAGGCTGACTCACCTAAACTTACCAAATACCTACAAGCCAGTTAAGGGGAGGAACCAAATACATGCAGGAAAAGTTAAGGACTAAAAAATCATAATATTACAATAATATTTATTTTATATTCTGGAAAACAAACACAGTTTGCTGTTTGTCTTAACTACAAGTGCCACTTTGTTCTGAATTAATATAACCCTTTGATCACAATGGCTAAGTAATATGGTTAATTAGAAACACAAAGATAGTTTGTCTCATGCTAAAAGTTTGAATTTCAGGCTTTTTAGGCGGTGTCCAAGTCTCTCTTACAGACCTGTACGTCCTAAGATTAAATATATACTCACCGCGAAAAGAAACATGGACCATAGAAACAGATAGAGAAGTATGTATGTTAAGAAGAGATGTTTCGAAAGCGTATCAATCAATGACAAAACTAACAATCAGTCAAGTGTTACCACAGAGTGTCCTTATTCTTATCGCGATATGCTGCACGTGATTTCCAAACTTGAAGTGCAATCCTGCATGAGACAAATGGTGTCATGGGTCTATGACGTCACATGTGATGTGTTCATGAGCGTCGGTTCACACAATTATACCAGTATGATCGTTTGTGCATCGAACCAATCTAATATCTCTTGAATATGAGTAATTCTTCATCTATTAGCCAACATGTATGGTATTTGTGGTTCTTTTGGCGGTGAGTATACATATTTAATAAAACAATCCTCCCCATTCCACATCCCCATTCTCAACTCTGGCAACACATTTTCCTATCCCTGTTAAGCTCTCAGGTCAGTGAACTAAGAGATCTGAGGATTCCTTTATACTCAAGGGTTCCTTTATCGAATTATTTATACAAAACCTTATACATAGCCATATTTCAGGGACTATATCCTAGTCTTGGTTGTTGTTATAAATGTTATTACGGCAAGTATATTTTTCATGTTCAGGAAAAAAACCTTGATGCAGATTATCCACATATACCACTCTGGTGAAACCATCATATTTCTGCAGGGTTATTTTAAGTTTGTTTGTTTGTTTGGTTTGGTTTGGTTTCGTATTGTTTGTTTGTTAAAACCGCACTCAGTAATATTCCTTATATCAAGAGGATATATGATGGCAGTCTGTAAATAATCGAGTCTGAACCAGACAATCCAGTGATTGACATCATGAGCATTGATCCACACAATTTGAATATGATGACATACATTAACGAAGTCGGGAAGCCTGACAAGCATGGTCACCTATTATGACAAGCATGGGTTGCTGAAGACCTATTCCAACCCGGATCTTCATGGGTCGGTTATTTTAAGAATAACATATTTTATCATGTATATGACAAGACACTATTACAACATGTGTTTCAGTATCATAAATATCATATAGAAGGATACTAGGAATATAAAATATTTATTATGCTCATCAAAGGCTTGCATAATACTGTTTTTCCTCCAACATATCATAATAATTGGAGTGAGTAAGTGAGTTAATATTTAACATCATATCAGCATTATTTCAGCCACATAGTGACCATAATTATGATAATGGCTAGAAAGCACTGGGGACTAAATATCTGTCTATATCTCAGCAAGAATGGCATCTTCTGCTTCCCAGTGCCTGACAGACTAACAGTCAATGAAATCTTTTTAATACATTTCTCTTCCCTAAAATTAAAACAAGTAATTTTCCTGATGCTGATTATCTGGCTAGAGCTGGCTACACTTGCTTTTATATATATCTAGATTGGTTCTGTTTTCATAAAATACATATATTCCACAGTCCCGGTGCAGGACTAAGTGCCTGACTTCCCTTCAAATGCCACCTTTCCCTCCCAGATGTGGAATACAAGGTGACTTTGATGAACATATAGCCTTGTATCATTTGTGGGAGAAGTCAGTGATAGGCTCCGACAACCTAAACAGCTGGTGGAGTACACCTTACTTCATTGGTCTTCTGTGTATGATCCTAAACACAGGCGAGACCCACGTTCTGGCAGGCAGTCTGCTGGGCACATGTTCTTGAGTTACACTAGACAGCTTCATCCTAAATGCAGGGACTACTTTTTCTCTTCACAGAAATGCTGAGAAACATTAAAGCTTCTGAAGAACCTGTCTTATTAATACTTTCATCAGGCTGCTAAATGAATTACTGATAAAAATTAGGTATACAGGCTTAGATATATATGTTAGAGGCAGTAAGAAAGAAACTAAGTCATAAGGATTACATCAATGTGATTTTACCCCACATGTCCTACACTTTACTGAAGCCAACTGTTCAATGGTTGCGTTGCTGGTGGTGGCCAATAGATTTGATTTGATCATCATAATTGATCATGTTAATCAGATGGACTGTGTGAGTTTTGTTTGTTGTTTAAAGCAATATTCCGTGATTGCGGTGCTGCAACTAATAAAATAATCGAGTCTGGAACAGACGCTCCAGTGATTAAAATCATCAGCTGCAAACTAAGCAAGCTGTGTGAGTGACAACATCTATAAAGTGACTGTTTTTGAGGTACTAGTATCAAGCATTGTTTCCAATTGCATTTGAAAATTCCAAATTGAATGGTCAAAAGAATAGAAAGGAACCTGCATTGATTGCTGATACTTAACCCAGATTATCTCTCCCGAGTGGATTACATTCGCATGTCTCCAGCACACGAGGGACAGATAATCTGCAA